AATTTGTGTACAGTGATAGGGCAACACATTTTGATGAAGATAAGTTGAATTATGCTCAAGGTATCTGGTACGGTATTTCAAATCTCAATTTTTTTCTTCCTTTTCGATTTTGTTTTTACAAGATACACGGTTTTCAAAATTAAAATCACGGGTTTCACCCGGAACTTTCACCGTGCTTGTACACACGCGATTGCCATTCTTTGTTTTGCTTTTTCGCTATATTGTATTAAGTAACTTATAGTCCGACCTATGGAGAACTTTTAGTCTGTAAACGGCGTGTACACATATCGTGAAATGAACTGTGGTCGCACGTGAACATCGTGAAATGGTGTGTGAAAAACGTATTCTGCCTGTGACAACGCGGACGTTGTTCATTGAACCTTTTAGGGTCATACTCTTCGCACTCGGTCGTTAGCGAGAGTTGTAGAATGATGTGTGGACCCGTGTGAAAAGAAATTGTCGCTTGTGAACAGGCATGGAATTATAGAAAATTCACACATGACTACGAATATGATGTTACAGCTGCACGACCTGAATATCGTGAAGCTTTTCATATGGCAAACGTTTTATTTACTATAGTACGCATTCCTTCACGGATGATTTATTTTACTTATGTTTATAACAGCATTTGTGCTTTTCTTCAGAGAGAAATACACAGGAATGCGTTTTCATTAGCCTTTTCTTATTCTTTACTCCTCTGAAGTCGTCATGGCGCTAGATCTTAATTATACTTTTTCGCTTTTTCGGAATTAAAGTTTGCTGAGTCCGCCGATTATCTTAGCGTAAATATATACCTCCTGGTAGATTGATGTGCAGAGAACAGCAAATACTGAGCGCTCGCTTTGAAGCGCCATTTGTTTGCCGGCCTTTTGTCACCAATCGCCACCCTTCTCCCCGCACATCAGATAAAAAAAGAACTTTCTTTCACGTGTTTTTAATATTCCAATTGCTTTTATAGAATTCTTAATTCCTTTCCTAAGGCCAACCGGCATGCCAAGGTTGAGAAAGAAGAAGTTACTAATAGCGTTCTTTATTATAATTCTTTACATCGTTTATCAACAGCATGTATCATCAACATTTTATCCTCGAACATTTTATCCTTATATCGCGGTTATAGCTGAAAATCGAAATGTTCCATTATTAATAACAGTTATTTCAAATGTTCTTGAACATATTCCTGCTACATGGCCGATACAATTATTCCATGGACCAGATAATGGATACAAATTATTTAAAGATTCTGTGTTGTCTGAATCAATTCGAAGTGGAAAACTCATTTTAACCCAGCTGAATTTAACGTTTAACGCAAATCTTTTATTTACGAATATTAACTTTTGGAAGCAAATACGCGGAGAGAAGATACTTCTGTTTCAGCTTGATTCGATATTTTGTTCAAATAGTCCACATAAGATAACTGGTAATTATGTGACTAATTTTGTGTTGAATGCATGAGTTATTGTAGTGTGAGTGATTTGTTTAAAGATAATTCGATTTTGTGGCTTT